CCACTTTTTATTTAGAGATTCTTGATAAAATACAGAAAAGTCTGCATTGTTATTGGTCCTGACCTGGCATCTCAGCATCAGTCACTTCCCATTGCCATAGTGTAGCTTCTTTGCACCTTTTCTATAAGTAATTTCATGGTAATTGTTCTGATGAGCTTTCTTCTTTGGTACTTAGACTTTATGAATTTAACTGCAGTATTAGATTGGTAGCAAGGTCTCATCAACAGTTTCTTTTCTCACACTTCTCTTCTAGCCTCTAGCCAACTTTTCATTTATATTGCCGAAAATTCTTTTAGTCACAACTCAGATGTTTAATTTTATGTAATTATTAACTAATTAATATCATAAGCCTTGTTTAAGTGAAAATTAATAAGTCTGTATTTCTCCTTACTATTTTGCTGGATTAACTATTGTCTAGACTGGCCATTCTTAACCATTCTTCGGTTTTATGGTCCCTCTGCCAAACAGGAAAATGTCACGGATTGAGAGAAATTTATTTATTACTGAATACAAAGAAAACTTGAACATTTCAACATCCTGGACAAAACTTAAAACAAAGACAATGGCTAAAATATCAAAGCAGACTGGATTCACTAGGGACAACCAGTCTAGGAGAAAAACAACTTTAAATTCAAAACCAGCCTAAAGATGGGGCTCTATTTGGCTATCTTACACTAGACATGTTCACAGGATTCATTTGTTTAAAGCCATTTATTAATCATTGATCTGAGAAAATTGTTGTATATAACTCTCTTCAAATATGCCAGGGCTCACATTGAAAATGTCTCTTTTAGATGATAATTCTTTAAACTATTCAAACAGCATTGTCTTTGTTCTTGAAATTTATTTCATGAAGCATTGTTGCTTATTAATCATTATTATTATTATTATTATGGCCTAATCAGTAAGGTAGCTGCCATGGAAACACAAGTTCCAGTTGTGAGAGGGGTATTTTCAAACCATACTGTTTCCTAGCCATTATAGAGTAATGATCTGGGAGTTGTGATACAAAGCAAGAAAAGAGAATTTTAGACAAAACAAATGCTGATCAAAAATTAATATTCAACAATGTTTCATGTAAAGAATTAAGCTACTCTTATGTCTAATACTACTAGTGCAATGTAAACAAAGATAGCAGCATACATGGCATTTGTCTGACAGTCTTTGTAGTCTGATTGGCAACTGATTTTTGCTTATCATAAATCTCTATTAATTATTCACAGGAAAAGCAAAAATTTTTGATATACCTATTTTTCTTCTGTTAACTGTTTTCCCAAATGATTTTTTCTGGTTACAGCATCTGCTATTCTCAAATGGTCGCCATCGTAAAGACTTACATAACTCACAAGGAATTAACTCAGAATATGAAATTTGGCTCTGCTTCTAAAACAATTTTACTGTGGAAACAGCTGAGGTTAATTAATTGTTTTGTTCCAAACGAGAATTTCATCTTCTTTTTTTTTTGTTTGTTTGTTTTACCTTCTTCATTAAGGTCGTAAAAAGCTGCTTCTTGAACCTTTTGTGACTTTCAAAATTTCCTTAATGAATTTTGCATTCTGTAGACAATGTGAAATCGATTGATTTTGTTTCTCTCTATTAGATTTGGTTCTTTCCCAGTTTCATAATTGACAATTATGGAGCTACATCATTTTCAGAGAATTCCATTTTTAATTTGTCCCCCCCCTCATATAGGTATACAAGAACAATGACTTGATACTACAAAATTTTATTAAAGTCTTAGATAGAACTGATGAAAGCATCTTCATACTAAAAAAAGACAAATATCTAAGGAACTTTTTGGCCAACTCTCTATCAGAGATCAGTCGTTAGCAAAAAGAAAATTTATTTTTTATTAATCCTAAAAAGAACAACAAAAACATTTAGGGGACTATTTTTTGGCAGTTGTATTCTCGAATCTGTTGTTGCTGGTTGCAAAAGGGCCTCTATATCTGTTTAAGCTTCAGGGACCCAGAAATGTATGGATCTGCCACTGTATACACACACACACGCACACATAGCTTTTCTTTGCCAGTGTGTTTCGTCAGCTGAGGAACTTAAGGTAAATTGGGGACAAAAAACGTTGTTAAAGAAAAGTTTTTCTTTTGTCTTTATTCATATTTTCTTTTTAGATATATTTTATTTATATCTGTATTTTTTTACTTACACACACACACACACATATATATATATATATATATATATATATATATATATTATCCATTATGAAAGACTTACCTGAAAATAAAATTGATAAGCTGACAAAAAAAACCAAGTCTTTGATAATGACTAATATTATCCAAAGTATTCAGACATAGGAATATGTCTCTCTCTCTCTCTCTATCATATATATATATATATATATATATATATATATATATATATGTGTGTGTGTGTGTGTGTGTATATAATGTTGCAAAAATAATATGTATGTTATGAAGTGGGATTTCCTTCTTATGTTATCAGTCCAATAGTAGTTGTTTATCTCGTATGCCGAGAGCTGGTCTAACCTTGCTGTTTTGGCATTTATATAGTCTATGCCTTAACTATGCTAATTAGGCAACCATTTAGAAGGTTAAGTCAAAAATTATCCATACATTTGCCATATCATTAGACAAGAGTGCAGATAATTTTTGACTTTCCCTTTGTACATATCACTACATCGAGTTATGGTGGGGAATATAGAAAGTAAAATGTTTGAAGTTTTTAAACCACGTTTTCTGAGGACCTGATTACTTACTAATATTTCTAAGAAATATTTCTATAAAAACGCATGTTTCATGTTAGCACAATCGACTTCCAATTAATTTCCATTATCATGCAAAATAATTCAATGAATGAAAAGAAGATCAAGAAAGAATCCATACAATTCTGTTTTTATGCTTAATTTTCAATCTAAAAATCACTTTTCAACTGTGTATTCAATATTATGAAGTTTGTTTTCTTTCATACTTTATCAGTTCAGCACTAGTCGTTTATCTTGCATAACAAGACCTGGTCTTCCCTTACTGCTTAGTCACTTATGTAGCCTAAGACTTAGCTATGCTAATTTGGCAGCCATTTAAATATGACTACAACAGATATATATCTATATCTATCTATCTATCTATCTATCTATCTATCTATATATATATATATATATACACACACACACACACATATATATAATTGTGTATTTGGCCAGCAATCTATCTTTTATACAAGTTTCATTAAAGTGAACTGACAAGGCGCTGCGATTAAGCTTTTTATTAAATTTTTCTTGTGTTTGTATAAGTAATTTCTTTTCTAAACATAAAGTGTGTAATAACTGTTAAAAATATTCTCTATATCCGAGCACTTTCAGCTATTCTGTTAGCCATTATCAAGCATGTTTTTATTTTATTTTTAACTGAATGTGTAGATATTTACATATGTTTCTAGAGTGATGGGAATATTCCTTTATTTTCCAAATATTATCTGCATATTGTGGCCGTGTTCATAGTTGATGTATTGAGTGTTGGCTTTTGCTTTGTTAGTACTTTCATTATATTTAGTCTTTTTTTTACATGTGGGTGAGGCTATTATACTTGTATTTTCTATAAGTATGCTGCAGATTGAATTTTGTATGTTTTGTGTGTTTAAATGATTCCTAATTGAGCTATGGTCAGAGAGGTTTAACGTGAGTCTTTGTGATAGGCATGTAGTGGTATGTCCAATATAATTATTCATGAATGGGGTTTGATCAGGAACACAGTTCCTTAAAGGACATGTGGATCCATAAAGGATATTGATTCTCTGTAATTTGGATCTTGAAGGTGAGTTTTTGACTATAAGGTTAGCTGTTTTAAATTTTTTATAGTAGATATTTTAATTTTCTTGTTCTGGTTGACTTGCAGGCAAGCTAATATTTTATTCTTAATGACGTATATGTATATTTCCATATTTCACTAGATAATTAGTTGGCTGCACTTTTTATAGAATTGCATTTTCAATTTAACCATTTTAATTTCATCCCTTTTAATTAGAAAAAAATAATTATGAGTAAGTCATAAACTAGAATGAAAGTGGTAAATACTGGAAGCATTTCTACTTTTTTGTTTTGTTATTCTCAGCACAAAAACTAACGTTCTTCTATGTTTGACAACAAATCTATTTGATTAACTAATTCAATCTTAGTCACTAGTTGCTATTGTGTGGTAGCCATTTTGAATGTTTGTCCCAGTTAATCAGAGCCTCCATCATAATTGGCAAGAGTATGTTGGAACTTTTCTCCCAATTATGGACTGGAATCTCCGAGAATATAGGAGTCGTCTGCAGCTGACAGCAAAGCCTCCTGGGAAATAAGCATGCACATCTACATAGAGACATCCAAGCAAAACCTCTCTTCCCCTCCTCTAGACCTGCTTTTTGCTGCTATCTAAGAACAGCTCTTTGGCATAGTCTTATCCCATTCCTGTCTGGCCTACTGCTGCAGTTGGCATTATTAGAAAACGAGACAGAGAGAGATACAAATGACAATGTCCTCCTATACGTGCTGATTTAGTTTCACCTCTAGATTGGATATCAGTGATAGCTACAGTACTAATTTGGTGTAGAACGCATACCTGCATATTACCTAAGGCATTCGCATTCCCATCTTCTGCCTGTTTTCTTGTCCGTCCTTGTATCGCTTGTCTTGTGTTTTACTTTTTCTTTTTTCATGCACATGAACCTGAAGAAGTATTTGGTTAGGTATTTTCAGCAGGCTGAATATTTTTTCATATTTGGTCAAGTAACGGTAGTTTCACTTTTCTTCATTGTGGATTAAGTTCAGCCTTTTTCAACTTTTTTTCAATTTCACCTAAAAATGCCATATTGAAAGAATTTTTTTTTCACCTTTCATGTGTTTTAATAATTGTTTTATGTGATAATAATATTTTTTATTTCTTCCCATTGCTGAATATCTTATGTGTTTTTTTGTGTTTTCACTATCTCTGTAGCATTTCTTCCCTGTGGCATTTTTCACTTGTCTCTGGTATTTTTCAATGTGGCATTTCTTTTTGCTTCCCAGTGGCATTTCTTTTCTTTCCTTTTTTCTTCTCTGTGCATTTCTTTTCTCTTCACTGTGGCATTTCTTTTCCCTTCCCGGTGGCATTTCTTTTCTTTTCTCTTCTCTGTGGCATTTCTTTTCCCTTCCTAGTGGCATTTCTTTTCTTTTCTCTTCTCTGTGGCATTTCTTTTTCCTTCTCAGTGGCATTTCTTTTCTTTTCCCTTCCCGGTGGCATTTCTTTTCCCTTCTCAGTGGCATTTCTTTTCTTTTCCATTCCCGGTGGCATTTCTTTTCTTTTCCCTTCTCTGTGGCATTTCTTTTCCCTTCCCGGTGGCATTTCTTTTCTTTTCCCTTCCCGGTGGCATTTCTTTTCTTTTCCCTTCCCGGTGGCATTTCTTTTCCCTTCCCGGTGGCATTTATTTTCCCTTCTCTGTGGCATTTCTTTTCCATTCCCAGTGGCATTTCTTTTCCATCCTCTGTGTCATTTCTTCTCTGTAGCATTTCTTCTTCTTTTATGGGACATAGGCCTTCCCTCGTATCATGGGAATGAATAGGCCATTAAACCTATTGCTCTGGCTCATTGTTTGTTGATAGGGGTAGATGAGACACACTTGGATAATTATGTTTCTCTTTGATTCATAATTACCCAAGAGTATTTGTGCTTAAGTATGAATGTAACAAATCAGACTTGAATTTGAACTTTGCTCTCCAATTTCTCATTCTGAGCCATCATCCATTACACCCACCCATGTATTGAACATCCAAGCTTACAGCACTGGATATTTCTAAATTATTACCCATCTAGGTACTGACCAAGCTCAAAGTTGCTTAACTTTGGTGATCTGACAAGAACTTGTGGTTCAGCATATAGCCATAAGCTCCCTGTAAAATTTAAGGCATTTCAAATTTTTTATCTTTTTTTATATTTTATCTTATTAGCAATTATTTATATCTATCTATCTATCTATCTATCTATCTATCTATCTATCTATCTATCTATCTCTATATATATATATATATATATATATATATACACACACACACACACACCAGGGGCTACTTTTTTAATCTCAGCAATATATCCTCCTCATCCTCTAGTCTGTTCTTGTGTTTTTATCTATATTAATATTTAACCACCATAGAGAAATGTTCCTGTCTGCCATCAGCATAGCAGATGCAAGAATCCTAGAGAGAAGATACTGTGCCTTCTCGGCTTCACATTTACAACTGACTTGAAGTGGAACAGCTACATCAAATCAATAGCTGCATCTACTGCAAGGAAAGTTGGTTCATCGAGTCATGTCAGAAGGTTTTTCTTGTCAGAGTCCATCTTGTACATTTACAAAACTTCTATTTGTTTGTGCATAAATTGCTGCTGCCATATCTGGTCTGGTGCTCCTGCTATTCATCTTGAGAAGGATCTACAATGTAATGACTTGGCATCTTGACTTCAGTCACTGTTTCACCGATGTGATGTGGCTTCTCTCTGTCTTTTCATGGTAACTGCTCTGGCATTCTTTTTTTCCTTGGTGCCTCAAGTACATGAATTGAAGTGTGCTACTAGATTGGCATCTAGGTCCCACCCTTCTACTGTTGAAATATTTCAATATAATTTCCACTTCTACAACAACAGCTTCTTTTATTGCATTTCCCGCCTGTGGAACTCTCTTATGTTTACTTGCTTCCCTGACAAGTACAATCTTCAAAAATTTAAATGCAGTGTTAATCACCATCGCCTTGAATCCCATTCAGCTTTTATCCTTTCCTGGGTCTCCACTATACCCATTCTTTTTTCTCTCCTTCACTCTCTGTAACACCTTGCATACTAGTCGCATTCCTGCCTGGTTTGGGGTGAAATGATTAAAAAAAAATATTTCCTTCATTTTCTAAAGTGGCAGCTGTTCACTATCTCAGTACCAATATTTTAATCGGCTCAAAATAATGCTCAGTAGAAATTCTGTAAAAATTTTTACTGTCTAATTATTGCTGTTTTGAATCTTCCCAAAAAGAATCAGGATTTTATTGTCTAGATGCATTGCGTTATTACTAGCATACAATCCATAAAAAATAACAAGATGATTTACATATATATTGGCATTTTTCCCTGCGACTAGAGTAGGTATTTACTCTGTCTCCCCGCTAAGACGAGTTGTGACACAAGTTCTTTTTTAAGGTGGGTACCCAAGTGCGTACACCCAGGCAAGGAACAAAAACCATCAGCTGCACTGACCTTGGTGCAAGCACTGATCCCTCTCTCTGGTGCAATGAGAGGGCACAACCTTTGGCAGCTGTTTCCCAGGGCTGGACACCTCTCAGTATAATTTTTCACAACTCTGTCCTTTAACGGAGTGCACTCTTGCCCAAATACAGAGACACAACTGAGAGATGATAAATAATGTGTTACAAACCACTCCAAAGTGGTGTTTACACTCTGGAATCAGAGTATAGTAGTACATTGAAGTGTTTGTCTTTCACTTTTTGTATGATAATATAATGCAATATTGTTCAAATATCTTTTTCTTCTTTGAACTATCTAAACGATATTTGGTCAATACTCTTTTCTATATGGACCCTGTTCAGATTCTTCAGTCTTCATATTGTGTAATATCGGCTAACATATTTCTTATTATTTCTGTACTTAACTGTATTTATTTCATGTTTACAAGGGTAGATAAAATAAGTTTCAATGTTAATATGAATTTTGATCTGAAGATTTCACTGTATAATGCTCCATTGATGTTATGGAAAAATATAGGATTATGTGAATTGACAAGGAAGGAGATTACATTGAAAAATATTTCTATAAAATAAATGCCTTCTTCATCATTGCACTAGGGATATTAATGTACCTATTGATAGATAAATATGGAACAACATAGGTAGGTAGATAGAATTATGGTTTTACGCCTGTGTCTGTGTACACATACGTAGGAAAAGGTACTAGAAAATTCTTGTGCTGATCTTTTTTTTTATTTGGTCAAATTTTTTAAAGTAGTCTGGGCTAAGAACTTTTCAGCACCCCTTTTATGTAAATGTATATTTCAAGACCCTATTCTCTGGTATGCCTGCAATGTGACAAAGAACCACCAAATTCTGGTGATACCACAAGGTACTGCTAGGTTGTCCTTGGTTAGTGGTAATGATTATTGCGGTTTTGAATCTGCCAAAAAGAATCGGGATTTTACTGACCAAATGTTTTACCAGAGTTTCAACCTGATATGGCCTGTTGCGATATAAACAACAAAAATAAGAACAATATTCCACATGTAAACAATGAAAGATTTTCTTCTGCATTTTAGCTTGAAATGGGTTAACAGTTTTCTATAAATTGAAAGATAAAACTCAACATGACCTAGATTATTCTACGTATGTTTTTGATTAAGAAGAAAGAAAACTGCAAATTTTTTCATTTAGTTCTCAGCAGTTTGTCTTGTCAGTTGATTAAGCAAAGGAGTTTTTCCTGCTACTGCTCGTCTCGATTGGGAGAGGGTAAAGCCAGACAGTATTTTAAAACTCTTCTTATCTGCAATAGAATCTTCCCCCGAGAGACACGCCCAGGAGCTCCCTGAAGAAATCTTTGTGCTCACCCACTGCTTATCTTTCTCTGTTTCAGCTGTGCAAAGAAGGGAATCTAGTGCCCCTCCCTCTTAAAAAGTGCATTGATTTATCTGCAAACAAGTATAGGCATGACCAATTGTCGGTGTTGATGAGGGATCTTTCTTTCCTTCCTTTCACTCTCCTCATGCACACACACACACAAGCACGTTTGTTTACAATGGCAGGTTGTTAGGAAGTGCTTGTCTAGGGCGTGGTCCCAGTGTGGTCAGGCATCCAGCCAGCTTCTGTTCATGCAATGTATGCATGTTAGCAGCATGTGGTAAGTGTGGAGGAGCGATCCCTGGGGAGAAAAGTAGGTATCCAGGATTCAGTCTAGTATTTCTTGTCTAACTAGTAGCCTACCCTCATTATCACAGCAAACAGCAGCAGGGGTAAAAACAATTATTGCATGACTACTACTGTTGTCCAGCTGAGTCTTTAACATGAGATGCCACAAGTGGCAAATCTATATCTATATATATATGTGTGTGTGTGTGTGTGTGTGTGTGTGTGTGAAAATATATAGAAAATAGGAAGGAACTGGTTAGGTAAATAATCCAAAGTTCCCTTAGTTTTTTAGTTATAATTTTTAAAAATAGTGCTCGATACAAAAGTAGAGCATAAATATAATTATTTATTTAAAAATATGATTCCAAATCGCGACATAAGAAGTCTCATGTTTCAAAACAAGAGCCGAAAACTTCAATATAATTATTTAAATTAAATTGAGTTAAAGTAAGCTCTGTTCCATCTTCAAGCAAAATTTTTTTTTGAATCTATATATATATGGAATCTATATATATATATATATATATATATATATATATATATATATAAAAAAATGTTGGATTAAAAATATGTTGTGATAACAACACCAAAAATGAGAACAATAGTCCATATGCAAATAATGTAAATAATAATAACTCATCATCCCAGAAATTTAGGTAGAAAGCGATTAGGTGATAGTAACAACAAAGATAAGGATATTAGTCTGAAGGTAAATAATTTAAATAATGATAATTTCTCATCCCAGAAATTCTAACAGAAGGTGATCAGGTGATAATAACAATGAAGATGAGGATATTAGCCTGAATGTAAATAATAACACCTCATCCTAGAAATTCAGATAGAAACTGTATTAAATTCACACACAAATACTTGTGATTTATAGTGAAAACTTTAAAAATAGCTGAAATTGGCAAGATTTTTGATTTCCAGCTAACTTTAGAGCTAACAAGGTTGACATGTACCTAGTAACTTAACATGGACTCAATGAATGATTTGTTCTAGCAGTTATCTAACTTTGTTCAGAAAGAATAAAACGCCAATTCAAAATGGCCCATGTGATCCCCAACTGGTTCCTTAAATCCAATATTTGTTAAATCAAGATTTTACTGTATGTATGTCTTTTTTTTATTGTCATTATCATTAATTTATGTTAAAACCTTGATTTTCAATAATTGGTGATTGAGAGTATCCTTTAATTCAATAGTTCCTTAATTCTGATAAATTTTGTAAAGAAGCAAGCAAGGTCTGTGGATAATTGCATTCAATGAACATGATTTTATTAAATCAAAAACAGCACATAAATGACCAATATTACATAAAACTGTCTAAAATCTATAATAATAAAATGCAGTGTATGTGTGTCTGTGTGTTGTTTAATCTCAGTGGATCATAAACAACCTGAACTAACAGGCAGTAACTACTATAGTTACACGCAATTAAAAATTAAATAACTCATTTAAAATTAAATTTAAATATCAAACAGAGTGAAAAGTTTATAAAACAATTCTTTATTAAAGCTTTAACTTTAATTTTTCTTTTTGTCACAATTGCAATTGATATCGTCTAATTAAAACCTAAGCGGGTGCATATGGTACATTGCTCATATAGATTTTTTTTTCTAGCATGTGTACTGTGATGTATTCAAAGTATTACATAATTTGGGTTCCCTAATGTCTTTTAAGAGCAACTTTGGGAAGGGATCAAAAAGAATAGTGATTTTAAAAGAAAAGAACAATTGCATGCAAAATAAATGCACACAAACTATGCAGATTGGTTGCGTATATGAAGAAAGATTATTCCAAATTAAGATGTCAAATAAAGATAAAATAATTTTATTATTTCTATATTTTCATAACGCTTATGTATATAGGATACTGAAAGTAAAAGGCTGAAGGCCCAAAAGCCCTTCGCAGGAGCTAACCTAACGTCCACTCAAAGAGCAGCTTCTTTTTAAATTTCATACATAAATAATCCTACAGGATTGATGGGTACTATGCAAACATTGTTGTCAAGTAGGGTTTGTTAGTTATAGTGAAAACTGCCTTTGAAAACAGCTGGAATTGATTTTTCACATCCAGCTAACAGGGTTGACATCTACTTAGTAACTTAATAAGGACACGATGAATGATTTATCTAACTTTGTTTGGTAAAGATAAAAAGTTGGTTTGTTATGGTCTGTGTGA